AAAGACCATACCTTGTTTCCAAAGTAACATGGGCTGCTGCCAAGCTTTCCCTAATTTTTTTTTAAAGTGGGGGAGGACATTTAATTTCCAGCCATAACATACCCCGGCTCCCCACTTCTCCAAGTCTCTCTCTGCCATTCTTCTTCTCCCTCCATGAGTTTGATTGTCCCTTGGTAGCTCATGTGCCAAGTGGGGTCCTACAATGTTATCTCTTGGAGCCTGGCTTCTTTTATTTAGCACAATAAGCTAATGGAGAAAAGCTCATATCTATGTTAAGCACATGTCAGGTTCTCCTTTTTAAGGCTGTATACTATTCAATTGTGCATCTCTCTGTGTATCCATTTATGTCACATTTTCTTCTTCACTCTTCTACCCATGAGCACTTGGATTCGAAACTGGCACTGAGAAGTGGGAAGGGTTGGCCTATGTTTGGAATTAGAAGAATTTGGAAGACTTTGCACCTGTGAGCTAGAGAAGCTCTAGAACGCTGTAAACAGTGCTTATTGGGTTTTTCTGGCAGGGTTTGGGAGACCAGCATGCTAACAGATATGTGAACAGTGGAGGCCTGGCCTGGGAGGTTTCAGTGAAGAAAGGACACTCTGAAGGACTGGGTGATATAGGCTGTTCCTGTTACATTCTGTCCATACCCTGGGAACTTGAGTGATGCTAAATTCATAAGCAATGAGCTAAGTTCTTTGGCAGTAGAATTTTGGAGACAGTATAGCATTTAGGCTATGGCCTGGCTAGTACTGGTTACAGATTATTATTCCAGGAGTGGTCTGGGTCTTTGCATCTCAACTGATCTCTATTTAAGATGAGTCTTCCTAGATAAATGATCCAGTTAATTTAAAACCCCTCACAGGTGTATCCAGAGACAGGTGTATCCTGATGTAGTTAAGTTGACAATCAAGAATAGCCCGCCATCCCAGCTGCCTATGCCCATTGGTAGGCATATGGTGACACTTAAGTCTCAGATGCCAGATATGGGATCTGCAGTTTGGTGTTTGCTTTTCTGAGTTTTAGTTTTGCTTTATCTTATCTTGTGGGAAACCCCAGAGCAAAGTTAGCATCTTAATAGTCATATTTCATACTACTCTCTTAGATACTAACATACTGGCAATTTTCCATTCCCCTATGACTGTTCTCTTGTTAAGCCTATGACACAGCCTGACCCTGAAAGAGTCCCAGCTGCAGGCTTACTGTATAGCAACTTACCTTATAGCAGAACAGCTGCATTCTGCTTGGAAGGACATTCTGCCTCCCTCACACCCCCCCTTTGGCCCATTCCCTCATTTCTCCACTACCTAATCCCTGTGGTTATATTCAATAAATGAGACTTGATCAGGACACTGTGTTGTCTCCATCTCTCGCATCTCTTGTCCCCTCATTCTCACTCCCTCCCTCAGGGTCCTCGTCGACTGACCCTGCGGGCCGGGGCATTACCTTTCTTTACTGTCATCTCATTCTTCTCTTCGGAAATGGATATGTTTATCCTATGCCAATGAACATTGGAAATATACAACTCAAAAAACAAAACAAAACAAACAAACAAACAAAAAAACAAAAAAACGGGAGCTCACAATAAATACCTGAGTCTTACAAGAGACTTTGAACAGTACTAGGACTGCTAAAGACTACAAGTACTTCTGGAACTTGAGTGACTGTGTTATTTTGTAAAATGGCCATGAGCCTTTGGAACAAAGCATGGAGTATTCTAAATTTAAATTGATATATTTGGGTTCCAAGTTGACAAGGGGTGGGGGATTACTCTTGATTATCATTCTCACAGAATTTAGCTTTATCTAAAAGACAAACCTGAACATATCTGTGAGGAAATCTTCAGAAAGGTTTAGTTGAAGAGGGAAGACAAACTCTGAATGTAGGTATCATCATCCCACAGGCTGAGGACTCAAGCTGAACAAAAAAAGAGAAAGCTGGTAGGTCACTAATCTCCTCCTGCTTCCCAACCGCAGATGCAATTCCACTAGTCACCTTGCGTGCCCATTGCCATACCTTCCCTGCTATGATGAATTGCATCCCTTCTTAAATCCTGAGCCAAACTAACCCTTGCTTTGTCAAGCTGGTTTTATCCAGTGTTGGCTACAGCAATGAGGAAAATATTAATATAGGTGTCGTCAGTGTAATATCCACTGCTATAAACAGGATATGTAAATATTTATTTGAGACCTTGTATTTATTTGGTTTTAAGGTGATGCCTAGGAGTGGAAATGCTGTGTGTGTGTGTGTGTGTGTGTGTGTGTGTGTGTGTGTGTCTGTCTGATTGTCTTGAGGCAGCATCATGCTGTTTCCCACAGCTGTCACACCATTTTATACATTCATTAGTGCCTGGAAGGATCATACCTGTCACTTCAATCATGTTGAAAGTTTAGTAGTATTCTAAGGTGTCCTCACATGCTCCTTTGTTTTTCTTGTACCAGTTGATGGGCATTTGGGTAGTTTCTGCCCCTTTGATAACAGTAATATTGCTGCTGTAGATATTGCTGTGCAGATATCAAAATTCCTGCTTTCAGTCATTTTTGCAGTCTTATATTTTAGATGGGATCGCTGGCTGTGTAGTGATTCGTATTTAACATGTGAAGACCAGGTCATTCTGAACAGGCTGGGCGTGGAGGCTTCCTTCTTGCACCCACTCTCCAGAAAGACCTTAGAGCCTATCCAAGAGGGCAGGCAGCTGACAATGTGCTCAGCTGAGGGTTGCAGAGGGGAACCCAGGGGTGAGGTCTGAGCAGTTCCAGGTGCTCAGGCATAGGAGCTGGGGAGGAGCGTCTCTGTCCTTTGAAGGTACCAAGCTCCCGTGACCAGCCAGCCCGTCCACTTGGAGGGTAATGGGCCAGAGAGGTGAACCTGAGGTACTCAGTGCTCAAGGCAGGCTATCGGTGTGGCCGGTAGCCGGAGAGTTGGCGCTCAGGCACAGAGCCAACCCCTCTGCATCCAGACACTTGCAGCAGGCTCAACTCCAGTTGACTCAGGGAATCATGTGGGAGCTTAGGGGTCTCCAGGGAAGGGATTAGAGAGTGAGAGGTGGGGCCAGGGGACAGGAAGGTGAGTAGCGGTGGGGACAGCGGGAGTGGGAGGGAGATCACTGTGGGCAGGAACATCGACTGGAGGCGGGGTCAGCGCGCTGTGGGCGGGGCTGGCTGGCTTCAGCCGCTGCTCTGTGCCTCCAGCGAGGTATCAGGAATCCAGCTGCCACCGGAGCCTGGAAAGGCCCTCAGAAGACAGAGGGGTTCCTTTCCCTTGCTGTGGAGCTCCCGAGGAGCGTCTGGTCTTCGCCCTGGTCCACAGGTACTGACAGCCCCGGAGACACTCAGAGAACCACACATAAAGAGTGGACAGAGCCCAGTCTGCCCCAACTCATAGCCTCAGGTGAAGCGGTAGAGGGTCCCTCAGGACTGAAGCCCCAGCAGCAGAGAACAGTGGGTAGTGGGCGTCTCCACAGAGCCAAGGACAGTTCCAGGAACAGCCATGGGACAAGTCCTCCAACTGTCTGTCTCCCCCTTAGGCGATTCTGAAGCCTTTCTTTAAATCCCGAGTTGGAGCAGTGCTGGCAGCATACTGCTGGGGTACTCTCTGAGGGCAGGGTCCGCTGGCCTCTCAGCTCTGGGTTCTGCCTCTTATCTAATAGGAGCAGAGCTGGAGATTGAGCTGGCCAGGAGAGACGGCAAAACCTTTTGAAGAGCTGTGAGATGGAGCAGGTAGGATGAGCTTCCTCGGATGTGGAGGGACTTCAGCCTTGTCCTCTTACTCCAGAACAGCAGGATTCGGGGGGGGGGGGCGCTTATCTTGGGAGCAACTTACTTTCTCCATTTTCCAGAATCTTAGGTTTGGCTATTTTCTTCCCTTCTTACATTTAGGGTGCTTTCCAGACCTCAGTCTTCTCCCATATCCAATTCCCAGGTCTGATGTCTTTATGTCTTGGGAGGGGTGTAAGGGAAAGTCAGGAGGGAGATAAGAGATTCACTACTGACAGACCCTCTCTCCTGCCCTGCTCTGCAGGATGTTGGTTTCCGATCAAGAGCCCCCTCCCTTCCTTGGAGCTGGCTCAGAGGCCTGAGTACTGACTGGTGTGGTTCTGAGATGTAACACTGCCTCTCCAACAGCTCTGAGCTTTACAGACAGTATTGATCTGCCTGGAGGATGTTAAAACCCAGTGTGTTTAAGCTATTAACTGGAGGGCACACTGCTCACCCAGAGATTTTGCCCTCAGGTCTCTCTTCTAACCCTATAAGTTAAGTGACAGCCTGTGACTGTGCCCCTGTGACCACTGCCTAGGACAAGCCTTGGCACATAATCTTAGAGCATCACAGCAGCTTTTGACATGGTCATAGGAATCTTGGTGAGGAGAAGTGGCTGCTGGGGTCTCTGTGGGGTTCTCTGTAGAGGGTTCCCAGTTCAGAGCTCTGTGATTTTGCAGTTGTGTTTTGCTGAACCCCATGACATGTCATTTTCTTCCCAGATGTGGGAAGCAGCTGTTGTTACTGCAGAATGGGACTGTTGCACAAGGATAGAGTTCAGGCTGTCAGACAGGGATTGGGGTTTGGGCAGACTTCCTCTCTGTCCCACCTTTCCACACGCACAGCTTTGGCCTTTGAGGAAGAGCAGTTTTTCAGTCTTCACTGGAGGGGAAATAAATGGTATTACTCTGTCTCCCCAGTCCCCCAGCCTTCCCCAGCTGAGTGGAAATGTGGTTTCCACTCTTTGTGCTCGCCCACCCCTTTCTTCCAATCCATTATCTGTGTGTACGGTGAGCAGGTGGCTAATGGATATGCACAGGTTTCATGATGATTTTAAACTCACCCAGGTTCACTCCAACATGTAGCCAACCATGTGAATGTCTTTCAAAGGTTTAAAATGGTACTCATATACTGTGCCCCTCAGATGCTGCTTAGGAAGATCTGACTCACCTAGAAAGAGCCGAAAGCCCTGGAGACGCCCCTTCAGGACAGCTCCCAGGGACGTTCACGCCACCACCTGCCTGGATGGAGACCACCGTGGGAGCGCTGGGTGAGGATAGCACAGACACGTCCACCAGCTTCCTTTCTGCCCTTGATGCCCACGGAGCCCAGGCTGCTTCCTTTCCAGTCACTTTCAGCTATGGTGACTATGACACACCCTTGGATGAAGAGGAGGATGTGACCAATTCTTGGACTTTCTTTGCTGCCAAGATTGTCATTGGCATGGCTTTGGTGGGTATCATGCTGGTGTGTGGCATTGGCAACTTCATTTTTATCACTACCCTGGCCCGCTACAAAAAACTTCGCAATCTCACCAACCTGCTTATTGCCAACCTGGCTATCTCAGACTTCCTGGTGGCCATTGTGTGCTGCCCCTTTGAGATGGACTACTACGTGGTACGCCAGCTCTCCTGGGAGCATGGCCATGCCCTATGTGCCTCTGTCAACTACCTGCGCACCGTTTCCCTCTTCGTCTCCACTAATGCCTTACTGGCCATTGCCATTGACAGGTGAGTGCCACAAAGAGGGACACAGAGAAAGGGTTTTGGCTTTGTTTCTTTCTTTCCTGTAGTTCTATACTGATGGCACCATGCAGACTCAAAAGCCCATTGATTGAACATCTAGCTTTAGTCAGGACTGGAAGCAGCTGAGGCCCAGAGTTGGGCAGTAGGAAAACCTTTGATCACTGTCTGTGGATTTTCCTAGGTATGCCTGATTACAGCTTAAACAAGTAGGAGGAGGCATCAAGGGGTGGACCTAAGTTATAAGGAATTACTTCTTGGGTTAACATGAAAATCTGAAGGGAGTTCCCTATCTCATCCAGATTTCCAGTATTAACTGGATTTTAAAATAAGATTGAGGGAGTTGTTTAGAATAAAAAGGTGGGGGACAGAAAGAGAGTATATGCTTGCTTTCTTTTGTTAGTGTTGTCCTAATCCCACCTCACTTCACACCCATCATGCTACAGTACAAGACCTTCTCTAGTGATGGGGAGTGAGGTCAGAGAGAGCAACCTGTGCATGTCTTTCTTATCCTTCAATGTTTCACTTGGTATAAACGTGTGCTGATGAGCCAGGATCACCGTGACTTCAGGGAGTCTTTGAAAGCTTCTTTGTGCATTTGACTCTAAGTACAAAGCGCCTTGTTATGGTCTATGGACAGCTACCCCAAGGGGCTAATCAGGCTTCCATGTACCTTGTCATCCTCTTCATCCAGAGAGTGTAAAGCACAGGCTCTCCTTGTTCCACAGCCTCAGGGCTCTGGGGTGTTTGACCTGGGCTCAAAGTCAAGGTAATGGAGCAAGTTTGCTGGCAATACAACTGGAGGTAGGATGACCTGTGGAAGATCAATTTCTAAGGAAAGGGACAGCAAAGAATCCGTCTTCAAGACCATTGAGGGGCAGAGCCCATCCCTTCTTCCCCCAGAGAAAGATGTCAGAGAGTCGGCAGCTGATGGGCCCTTGGTCTGCCACCCAAAAAAGGTATGTTGAGGTCCTCAATATAAGTCACCAACCTTGGGGCATTTGCCCACTTACATAATCAAGGAATCCAAATAAACCTAGCAGAGGGTAGTATCAGACAAGGTATCTGCTTCCTAAGTGACTTTCAGGGCTGCCCAAGGCCTATGGCTTCTGCAGCTTTGTCTCTGGCATTCCCTGAAAATGGAAATGCTGCCTTGTCTCTTCGCACAGGAATAGGACAAAACATATTGAGTTATTTCCCAGGCTTTCACATTGGCCTAGCTTTACCTAGGAGATGCTCTTGGCTACTAGAAGTAGAATAGATGGGAGCCTGCTGTGACAGAGTCCTGGTTCTGCATGAGATACATTCACCACTGAGGATAAACCCAGGAATACTGAGGTACTATTAACACAGATATTGATCAGCTATGATGCAGGACCAATATTCTCAATATAGCTCAAGTGCATGTTCCATTTTTACACCAAACTCAGCCACTTTGAAACATGGTATATATTTCTCTCATAGTGCAAACTAGACACACTAAGAAAGATGAATCAGGTCATGCTCCACTCTGGGGAGAGTTGCTGGTGCTTGGAGTAGGCTTCTGATTGGAAATCTGCACACAGATGTGGGAGAAAGCCCCAGGAGCTGCCGAGGCCTTCCGTAGTCTTAGGTAACTCACTGCCCCCCAGAACATTAAGTTTTTGTTGTTTAAACTGATATTTGAAATCTTTGCCCCAGATGGTTTTATTTTACTATGTTGCTGTCATCTAATTTCAGTTTTGTGGCTCAGTAGTCATTAAGTTTTTTCTTGTGAGCTGTTCAAAACACTGTGATTTTTTTTTTTCAGGCTTGATTTTGTTAGCTTGGGACAACTATATCTTATCCTCTGTCTATCAAACAGAACCTTGCCATTAGAATATCTTTATTTTGTTTAATGAAATGTTTGTGAGAATAGTTAGTGTGTACTTGATCTTAGTCTGTTGGTGCCCTCCACTCACTATGGGACTTTCCCCTGGTTGTCAGTTATCTGCCCTCTTCCTGCCTCAGGCTTTGAGGACAGTAAGAAAATCTAATGTACTCGGTTGTATTGAAGATGGAATGCAATCATATCTGCAACACAAATTATATCTTTTCATGTCTTGGTGTTTTGAGACTGGGTCTCACTGTAAAGCTTCTGAACTCACAATCCTTCTGCCTCGTGCATCAGAATGCTTGCCTGTGCTGTCATGCTTGGACAAAATACTGTGAAGTCAGAACAAGCTCTAAATAAGAGTGGATATTATGGTTCTTAAGTTAATATTAAAAAAAAACCCACAAGTGACAACAAAACTGAATAAACTAGAGTGTCTCCAGTGGGCTAAGTGTGTTTTTATAGTATATAGATAACAATATAAGGTTAAGATAACAATATAAGGCTATGAAGCGTTGCCTCAAAGAATAGTTTGTCTTTTACCAGCAAGGATTTGTGTGCTTCTGTGCTTGCTTTCATTGTCCTCCTAGATGTCAAGGCTGGAAAGTTTCTCTCATCCCTGCCAGTCTTTCTGTTCTAGAGCATTTGATCAGTTATCCCTGTCATACGTGTTCCTGCACACACTCACTTGGCTGGTCCTAGTCTCCTCTACGTTTAGTCTTCTGCTTATTGTCTCTTGGTTCTGTCCAACTGCCCCTGTCTGATCCATCCTAGCTTTTATTCACTCATGCATACATACATTCTTTCGAGGAAGAGTGTCTATGTAGAATGACTACTCAGTGTCAGGAATTATTCCAAAGGCTCGGAATGTAGTGGTAAACAGAACAGAGCATCTGGTCTCTGACAAAGCTATACCAAAGGAATGAAGAGAGCTCTGTCAGGCAAAGAACTATGGAAGGTGATTTCAGAACTGAAAAATACAAACAACAACAACAAAACCAAAGAAACGTATCAGCAGAAACATCAAGAATGACTGAGAGATAGATTAGACAGTCAGGAAAGGTGTCTCTGAGAAGACATTCAGGTGCCCCAGGAGTGACATGGAAGGGTTCACTTTGTGAGGACTGAGAGAAAGTGTCTAGGATAAAAGGACTTGTAAGCACAAAAAGCCTCCAGGCAGGAACAGACTTGATGGGTTCCAGGAACAGAGAGAAGGCTTTTCGGCTTCAGGGAGGTAAGCCAGGCTGTAGCTGGCTGAACCTTCTTGAACATAACTCTGGTTTCTTGCAGAAATAACTGCTGTGTATTCCAAACCTTTCAAGCCGAGGGCTGAGGTAAAATATCCTTTCAAAAGTAACACGAGTAACTTTCTGCAGAGTTCAGCCCCAACTCTCTCACTGCCTTTCAAGCATTGTATTGCTTAGCCCCACACTGCATTGCAGTGTCAGGCTAAGTAAACACATCTTTGTCCCTTTTCCCAAAAATGATTGTGGTCTTTTTGACAATGCAAGTTTCTGTTCACCCAGTACCAAACCATTGACAGGATAATGTTTTCTTAAAGTTGTTAAAACTAGGTGCCCAAAATTCACAGATGGCAAAAGTGAGAAAAGATGTAGACAAGATCATTCAAGGCTAGGAACTAATACTGGAAAAATGGTTAAATAATAAGCCAGGGTTATGTTGGCAATGAAGTTTGGAGAAGGGCAGTGTGTAGTGGACAAAAGAGGTGGTGCAGAGGAGATATACTTCAATGTGGTCATCAACAAATGATCAACAAAGGGTCTTCTAAGATGCCGGGGAAGTGTTTGAGGAAGTCAGGAGGTAGGATCCTTCCAGGGATTGCAGAGCCTTGGGGAAGCATGTGAGCCTGGGACTGAGTCTTCAGAATACTGATCAAAAAGGATGGGGTCATATTTCAGAAGATATAAAAATCCACCAGACGATGGCAACCTGGAAGAGTTGGCAAGATCCTGCAAAAAGTCCCCACCCCCACCCCAGCCCCTGGGCAGGGCCCCTGGGCCTCCTCTTTGATGTGGAAGCAACAGAACTGTCTTGAGGTATCTGTAACATTCTGGCCTGCTGCTTAAGAATTGCTGGGAGACTCCTCTTCCCCTGGCCTGGCACGCTGAGGAAATCAGTGAGGGTGTGTGTCCACTGGTGCTGAGACATGTTGTCGGGGCTCTGAAAGCACATATGTCCCTGGCAAGTTCATCATTTGGGGTCTGTTGCCCATGCCATGGCTAGCCTGATAGCATCTACAACCAGCATTCTCATGTCAGACCTTAGATGGTGACAGTAAGAGTTCCAAACTCTGCTGAAACACCACGGTTTGCACTCTGGCAGCCTTTATTTGTTGTTGTCTGTCAACTGTTGGCTTTGAGTGGATCTGAACCTAAACCACTGTAGCTATGGACACAGAGCAAGCCAAGCCCTGCTCATAGACTAAACAACATTGTTGTCAATGGTCTGATTGTCTGGAGGAATGGTGTAGGTAGAAAACAGGTCTGTGGCAGAGAGAAAAGAGATGGCTGCTAAGATTTGGTGAAGGTCAGAGAGAAGGTGGCATGCCCCTTTCTGCTGGGAAGGGAGGCAGCAAATGTTGTAACAGAGAGAACATGGGGCTTGTGGAAAGATGTGGGCCAATGAGCTGTGCAGTTTTGACAAGTCATTCCGCTTCTTCGTGCTTCAGCTGCCCTTTCTATCAAATGGGCGTCTTTGTTCTCTTACTCCTTCCATAGGGTTGAGATTACCTAAATGAAAGTATGGGCTTGCTATGTAAACTTAGTACTAATACAGACTTCCAGAGCCAAGGCTGATGGAAATCTTGGGAAAAATTTTCTGAGCTTTTTTCACGTATCAGTGATGGTAGTGTTAACTGTGTGGGGTCATTGATCAGGTGAGGATTGAGTGTATAAAACAACTAACACAATCCATGCACTGGCATCCATCAGTCTACTAATAGTGGGTGAGATATGACCAGCTGCTTTAAGCTCCTGCCATAACTTCCCTGCCATGATGGACTGTAGTCTCAAACTATGAGGCAAAATAAGCCCTTCCTGTCTTAAGAACATCTGTTTTTGTCTGAGTATTTTAATCACAACTCAGTAACTAAGAGATGCTGTGTGTGTGTGTGTGTGTGTGTGTGTGTGTGTTGATGTAATGTAAGCCCAGAGCCCCTGTATGCTAGGCAAGTACTCTACCTCTGTGCCACACTCCAGTCAGCATGATGGCTGCTATGAAGGTCCCATGTATGCACAATGCCAACTTTGATCTGTTCCAGTTTTCCAACACCAAGGAGTTGCTTGGAGTTCCAGGGATGCATGCTGGTGGCCAGCAGCAGCCATCTAGGGTGTTCAGAGGGTTCAGAGCCTTACTCCTGGGAGCTGGAAGAGCACAGGGGTCTCACTCCAGGGATCCCCCAGGCTGGCCCTTCATGGGATGACACTTGTGAAATTCAGTCAGGAAAACACAAGAAGGGATCTTTCCTTAGACAAAAGTCCCAAGCAAGATAACCTCAAAGGGGTTGTCTACAAAGGGAACAGAATTGGCCTGGCTCTCCTTCGGGGCCCTGTTACACTGCCATCAACTGCCCGGGACCAGCTATGCACACAAAAGAGTTTGTTCCTAGTGTCAGTCCTTTCTATCCCTTGCCTACCTTTCTTCCAACCTTACCAGCTGTGCAAAACCTTCCAGGAAGCCGGAGCTCTCTGCACAAGTGTGCACTCTGGGAAGAGTGCCATCATGTTACCCAGGTGACTCATAAAGTGCTCTCTGCTTCCTGGATCACTGTGGTAACAGTGTAGACTCTTTGGGAGAGGACAAAAGCAGCATCTTTTACTGCTCCATGCTTTGTGGTTTTAAAAAAAAAGTCATGTGTAAACCAATTGATTTTCACATCAGCCCCATGAGAGGGGAGTGTCTGAATGTTTTCTGTCAAGGGTTTTGTGTCATATAATCTTGAGAAAGTTCCTCATCTTTCAACAGCCTGTATCTTTCCAAATGAGGTAAACACACTTTCCCTCTCTGCATGCAGAACAATACTTCCTAAAACCCAAAATGAAAACAAAACCTTGGTCCATGCTTTGGTTGGAAAGGGTGATTTTTCCCCGGCAACTAATTCAAGTTGGAGCTGTCAGGCCTACTTAACTTTGAACCTTGCAGGCCTAAGGAGAAATGATGGGCCAGTGCCTGGCCAAAGACCTATGGGAACTATAGTTACTACATTTAAAAGTAATTTCCCCCAGTATATGCCCGGTTTAAAACTTAGCTAGGGATATTATACTAATTAACACATTTAATCTTTAAACTACCCAAATAATACTTGGGCAGATGAGCAAGCTGAGACAGGGACTAGTCAGAGGTGGAGCTAAGGTTTGCTACAGAGCTCTTGACCTGTGCATCTCCCTCAGTATCACAGTATCCAGTATCCAGTATCACAGGCAGGCTCCTTCAGAGGCTGACTCCTCTTCTGTGCTTGCCCAGGTACCTGGCCATAGTCCACCCTCTGAGACCACGAATGAAGTGTCAAACAGCTGCGGGCCTGATCTTCCTGGTGTGGTCAGTGTCCATCCTCATCGCCATCCCGGCCGCCTACTTCACCACGGAGACTGTACTGGTCATTGTGCAGAGCCAGGAAAAGATCTTCTGTGGCCAGATCTGGCCGGTGGACCAGCAGGTCTACTATAGGTCATACTTCCTCTTGGTCTTCGGCCTCGAGTTCGTGGGCCCTGTGATCGCCATGACCCTGTGCTATGCCAGGGTATCCCGGGAGCTCTGGTTCAAGGCGGTGCCAGGCTTCCAGACCGAACAGATCCGCCGGAGGCTTCGCTGCCGCCGCAGGACCGTGCTGGGACTTGTGTGTGTTCTCTCAGCCTATGTCCTATGCTGGGCACCCTTCTATGGCTTCACTATTGTGCGTGACTTCTTCCCCTCCGTGTTTGTGAAGGAGAAGCACTACCTCACCGCCTTCTATGTGGTGGAGTGCATTGCCATGAGCAATAGCATGATCAACACGCTGTGCTTCGTGTCGGTCAGGAACAACACCAGTAAGTACCTCAAGAGGATCCTGCGGCTCCGGTGGAGGGCCTCTCCCAGCGGGAGCAAGGCCAGTGCCGACCTGGACCTCAGGACCACGGGGATGCCTGCCACAGAGGAGGTGGACTGCATCGGACTGAAATAAGCAAAATGGTACCACAACACCTGAATGCTCACGGAAATGATGAATGTGTTTTTCGGGAGAAAGCAGAGGAAAGAGACAACCACTTAGACACACTATTCAAGGAACATCGAAGTGTAGATTTTCTGAAAGGGTATCTGAGACACTGTTACCAGTGGTCAGTGTTTACTGAATACCTAAATTTTGTAAAGAGTAGACACCAGTGAAAATCATTTATTTGATAAAAATGAAGTGGGGATTATAGCAAGGAAATACGGTGCAGAGTGTCTGGAATAGAGTTTCCAAATAGAAGGCAGAGCAGGCTATGCAGGACTCTCCTGGGCCACACATGGGCCTGCCTCACCCCCAGCAGTACTCTTGGGCTTGCCTTTACTTCCAGCATTAGCAAGCCTGGAGCAAGAGTACAGAAGAGGTTCCCAATTCTGCCTACAGGAGTCTCTCTCTACTCATCCCAGAATCCAATTCCCACTGGGAGGGGACTCAGATGCAGGTGTGGATACTCTAGATCCCATGGCCAAGTTCTGACCACCACTCCCTATGGCCACCTTTTAGGCCCAGGTTTCTGCATTAGACAGTGGGGGGAGGGGGCTTCTCTGGAGAATGGACTTGGGGGAGAAACCACATGGACTCTGTCTGGGTACCATTTGGATAGGGAATTTGAAGTTCTGAGTCATGTCGAGAGGGGAAGCCTGGGTTCATGAGAAAATGGCTCCCTCACTTCATGGCCTCCTCACTGCAGCGGGGGAAGGAGGTAGAGAGGGAGAAAGCATGTGCAGGAGAAAGAAGGTGCTGTCCCATTGTTCAGCTACTGTGGCCTGGACCACTTATGCTTCCCCTGGAGTTCTCATGCCTCTGTGTTTATGGAGCATAGAGCCCTTGAAGGTAAGCACAGCACCTCCCTTTCCCATTCCCGCCAGCTCTCAAACATGGGGTAGGAGGTGGGAGGGTGGGGGGTTTCAGCCCAACCAGCCTATTTGATGAGGTTGCCTCATGGGTACCATTGGGAGAAAAATTTCTTAGCCACTGGTGCCTGAATCTTGGCCTGGTCATGATTCTGGGGATTAAGACTTGCTGCTCTTTTGAAATGAAGGTGGCCTGGGGGAAATCACCACATCTCTGCTCTTCAGTGTGAATGAAGACTTGCATGTCAGTGGCATAACCTGGACACCCAGAAAAAGAGATTGGCCCAACAGGGAGCTCTTGGGACTCTACAGACTTAAGGAAGTTTCACCCATTAGGTAACTTGCCTCCTTTGGCATTTAGACTTCTTTTCTGAGGAGATCTGAGATCCAGCTTTGACTGTGTTGTCAACACAGAGCTGAGATGAGCCTTCTAAAGACAAAGGTCATACCTGAGAAACGTTCTAGAATTGTTGTGAGAGCAGTCAAATAATATGTGGAAGACATTCTTTTAACCATTTGAATAGACAATGACAACTGCCACTACCACAGCTGCCACCTCAGCAGCCACCACCACCACCACCACAATAGTGAACTTAGCAACTGCGGGGTGCCTGGACAAAGGAAAACTTGTATATATACCTTGCTTATAGATCCATCAGCCTCACAGACATCTCCCATCAATGTTCTTCATGTGAATTATTTTCTTATGCTTCTGGACTGTGTATTGTACATCACAGCCCATTGATACAAACAAGACCATGAGCTTTCAAGGCAGATACATAAAGGAAGTGCTACATGGTCTCCAATCAGGAGATAAGCATGAGGTTTTGTATACTCCAGATCAGAGAACCCTTCTTGTCAAGTAGACTGTCATCTCACACATGCTCCCAGAATCATATCACCCTCATAACCCATTATCCCACACATGTTCCCAGTCAGCATGAACAATGTCTCTCAGCCTGCTTTGTTCTCATGAGCATGCAGAGCCATAGAGCAGCCTCTTCTCGTTCCTTAGATTTCATTATAGGGCAAGGCATTAATAAGACTGGGTGATACCCATGTGTGCTTTCCCTCCAATACAGGCAAGACTATTTTTGACCACAAAGTTTTTTTTTTTAAATTGTCTATTTCCCCAGAAAAACACATTTTAAAGACCCATTTATTTATTCTCATTCAATATCCAACAGATTTAACCTTACAACAGAATTTTCCTAGACGATAAAAATTCATTAAAGAACAAACCTAAACCAAACACCGGGGTGGGGGGCCCTAGTTTTTATTTGAAATTTCATTACAAAAAAAATTACAAAAAAGAAAGAAAACTACATACCAAAATTAATCAGACCCAAAGACTCTTTTTTTTTTTTTTTTTTTTTTTTTTTTTTTTTTTTTTAGAATAAAAGCACATATTACATTCTAAAATGACTAAGTTAATTTGGGGATTTAGAAATACTTAGATGGCACAATTGTTCCTGCTACTAAGGGTAAACAAAAAAACTCTGTTAAATAGTTCTTTTTAATCCATAACATATGGACTCTTCTGCCTTTTAGTCTATAATGTATTAAAATTTCACTTCTAACTATTTATAGTACTTCTAATATTAGTGTTTGCTTGTGATTTTATGGCAAATGGTTGTTATCAAATGGAATACCAATAGATGTACACATATGATCACTGACTGTACTGTGTCTGTCATTTCTCTCTACCCTTCCATCCTTTTCCAAGCTCTAGTATGATGGTCTTTAAGATAACATCAAGTAGCTTTCATGATTATAGTAACTCACACTGCTCTTGCCAACAGTTTCCCATCTCCATCAAGAGCTATGGCTGATTGATGTACCTTCTTCCTTGAGTCTGGGCTGATGGAGTCAAGAATGATTTTCAGCATCTGAGTACTAAGATTTGATGTCTGTGTGCCCATTATGCCAGTCCTAGGAGTAAGCCCATGAACAGGCTCAGTGTCCACATGTGCAGAGAGGATGACAGAGAGACTGAGGATTGGTGCTGCATACAGATTCCTGGGGCTAACAGCTCAGACAATGGGCTTCTCGAAAACAAAACCAACCAACCAACTAAACAAACAAACAAAAAAAAATCAACTAATGGTAAGCTCCCAAAGATGACACTTGTGACAGATATTTCTTTTGTGTTATCTAAATACTTTCAGTATTCAAAGAGATATGCAGATATCCTATGCAGAAGGGTGTAGATGTGATTTTGCAAAATCATACTGTTTCCATAACTAAGAGAATAAATAAAACATGAATTCTTAAATCAAAGACATTAAAACAGATGATGTGGTGGGTACTCTGAAGCATGAAGCAAGATCCATGTTTGCTGTGGGCAAAGATGCTGGAGTACTTGTGAGATGAACAGATTTTAAATCTGACTCCTATTCTTGAAAAACGTGATCTTTTGTAGCCTGGTTGAAGAGAAGAGTCCGGTTCTCCTTCCTAGAGTGTGAGAATATCAGTTTAAAACTCAGATTCTGCAGTTGTAGAAACTGAAGTGCAGCAAACAGGTGAGGTGGGGGAGGCTGGACAGGATGGAGTTCAATGTCGGACAGTTGGATACTGTGAGAGCCTCGAGTTCCTGAAGCTGAGCCCAGCATTCTTTTATCACAGAATTCCTTGGTGCAGAGTGCATAACATCTTAGAGAGGTGGGATTCTGTCCAAATATTCTTGACATGTCTGTTCAACCTGCCTGGCCTTCTCTGGAGACCCTTAAGGAGTTTAGCAGAGACATTCCTGGCTCCTCTGCAAGCCAAGTTTTAGCTAATTCAACCCCCTGGACCTCACAGCCAGCCAAGAAGGCTCCAAGCTCAGAGGGAATATCTCAGATCTATTTCTGATGGCTCTATTTACCTAGCCTACCCTGAGGCCTCTAGGAATGCAACAGAACAGAACTTGGCTTCCCTTCCCTAAGATGCAGAATGAGCACAACGCTATGTTTGCCTGGATGTTCACATAGTCAGGATGCCAGAGTTTAGAAACTGCACAGAGCCAACTCACGTCCTTCCCTGGGAGGCCAAGACTGACATGTTTGTGAATGAAGGAGGATTTGAACTTGAGGATTGAAGCACAGAGAAACAAAACAGAACACTATGTCACAGGCCCAGAAACATTTTTCTGCTCCTGATAGGCAACCGTTTTTCCCACAGCATTGAAACTGTGGTCTCTGCAAGAAAGAAATTGAAACCTGAAAAACATGTAAACGTAGTTAAGGGCTATCACAGTCTCCCCTTTCCCCCCATGGTGCTTTCAAAGGCTCGAGTAAGAACCATTTTAGAATATATGCAGGTGACTCCATTATTTTTGGAATTAGTATGACTGTCATTTTAAATTATGATTGATTGTATTAAAAAGCACTGAGGAGATGCACTGTTGTTTGTCTGAAACAGCTTCCTAGAGAGGATTAATTAAAGAAAGAAGACCTAGCTGGAATGTGGCTGTATCATTGTTGGGAAATTTAAGTCCTTGTCCCTTACAGCTCTCTTCCTCCCCGCCCAGATGTAGAACTTCCATACAAACAAGGTTGAGCAAACAAGGTTGTTTTCAGAACTTTCCAGTGTGCAGTGCCTGTGCCTTGACCCCAGGTGTGGGTGGTGCTTAGCCCATCCCTTGGCTTGGGAATATAAGCCCATTACTCTCTGTAATGAATGGCAGCAGCTTCTTCACTTCTGGTGGTGGTCTGTTAAGTGCTTCGATCCCGACACCCTCCGCCAAGCTCCATACTCTGGTCCCGCGAGCGCTACACATCATTTAATGACTTGGGGGCTTGGAATAAATGAGAAGGGGAAAGCTGAAAGCCAGCTAAGCACCAATACCCACCTCTTCCTGCTTCTCTGCCTGATGAGACTCAGTTTCATATTCTAACTGCCACAGACATCTAACTGCCCTACCTTCTTGGCTACAGTGGGTTTATACTCCCAAACTGTGAGGCAGAATAAAGCCTTTCATCCTTAACTTGTGTTTGCACAGCAACAGGTCAGGGGATGGACAGAGTCTAAAAACAGTTTATATTTTCATCTATCACATCTGTATCTGCTTCTCTCTATCTTATTGTTGTTTATTTAGTTACATTTGATGATAAATCTTCTTTTCCATTCTTTCCAATAGAAATGTCGATGCTCATGTATTATAAGAAAGCAGTTATCTTGGAAGGTGTCTCAATCAGTGTTCT